GTCAATGGTGGGGAGCTTGATGTATGCTTCGGTCAACACTCGCCCCGATATTTCATTCGCGGTTTCGCAGCTAGCTCGTGTGGTGTCTAGGCCCCTTCAAGAGCACCTTGATGCAGCAGAGAGGCTGGTGAGGTACTGCATGGCAACCTCAAGGGTGGGGCTGCAATATTCAGTGCATGGGCAGCTGAAGCAAAAGGGAGTGGAGGAGGTGAGCACGAAGACCGGTGCACCTGCAAGGCGTGGACACTTGTACCTATCGTGCTTCACCGATGCTACCTGGGCAAGTGACATAAGTGATGCAACATCCCATGGTGGCTATGTATGCTGTGTTGGAGGGAGTCCAGTGAGCTGGAAGTCTAAGAAGCAAGGGGAGATAGCTCACTCATCAACGGAGAGCGAGTACATGGCGTTGTTTCATGGGGTGAAGGAGGTGGTTTGGATGAGGAGGTTGCTTGAGGAGTTGGGGCAAGAGAAAGAGGGTCCTACACCTGTGTTTTGTGACATCCAAGGAGCAATTGCAATGGCTCGCAATGCTGTGCTCCATGGGCTGAACAAGCACATGCATATCAAATGGCATTGGGTGAGGAAGGAGGTGAAGAAGAGCACGGTCTCCTTGCACTACATCAACACTACCAAGCAACCTGCAGATTTCTTGACCAAGCGGCTTGCAGAGCATCAGCATTGGACCTGTGCCACCTTGTGTGGCATGTCCTTCAACTAAGGGAGGCAGCTTCAGGGAGCAGCTAAGGGATGAATGAGAGCACGATGAGGGGGAGTTTGTTGTGCCAACACATTACAGTGGCACGGTCATCGCACTCCCATTCGGCCTACAAGCCTGCTCAGCTTCTGGAATTTTGTGGGGAGGTTTTTCAACATGTGTTCTTCAAACCCTCAAAGTTTCAGAGTTTTTGAAGCAGTTGCCAAGGCATGACAACATTTTATGTTTCAAGACTTATGGCATCCCGGAAGTGTGTGTTACTCCTTTTTGGTAACACCCGAGTTCACCATTTCGGCTGCTGACTCGTCTACCGAGCTCTGATTGGTCTGAAATTCGGTCTGGCAGTCCTTTGCCCCGCTGTGCAGGTGGTCACCAAGTTTCAGAACGATCCAACATCTGAGCATTGCGTGACAGCTGCCGAAATTCACTGTTCCGTAGTCATGGTGCACTGTTGGCAGCATTTCCCTTGCCACCCTTTCATTGTTGTCATGCCAATGGTGCAGGGACAGAGAATGAGACAAGAAGTACAGGTGGTCAAGTGGGACTCTACAGCTCTCCTTTTGAGAAGTGTGGTCTTCCTGGAACCAGCTTGCAAGAGGGTGCAAGTGGGAAGACAAGCTGACTCATGGTTGGCTTAACTCACAATTGGTTGCCTTGAGTACAGCTCTGAACATCCATGTGTGGTTGGCTTTGCTGACCTAGCTAGGACGTTTCCCATCCTTCTCTAGCCTTTCTCCCCTAGGACTCAACCTTCTCTGAGTTCCCAGGATGATCCCAACCCCTTAAGAGTCCCCTAGGCAATGTTGTACCTCACATCTTCCTTGCATCAATGAGAATACACGTTTTTCAGCCGAGCTTACGTTTTCGTTCACAGCGTAGCGCATACACCTTTTGTGAAAACAATCAATACACCGTTGGAAAGCAGACACTTAAGGCTAACTTCTGTCCAAGTTTCAGCCTCATGTGTTATTGGAGCTGATCGTGACGGCGTTTTGAACAGAGGCGGTTTGAAGACGTCAGATTCTGCTTAGGCGGTTTCATGGGCATCCGCGACCTCTAAGTGGACTCTTGACTATAACAGGCGTGTCACCGCTCTTCACCGTTCAAGTGTTAGCAGATGACTTGCAAGGCCAGTATCACCGCTCATCACCGTAATTCCACTTAGAGATGGCAACTGGGGAGTGGGCAGACTGTGCCTGGGATATGGAGTGGCCCTTGGCGTTTCTCCGGCAGTGTGCTCTGCCTCTTCTGGTCCTCCCTCAATGAGGGTATGAGAGGAGTGGGGGGTATGGGGAGGAGAAGGAGGGGGATATGAGAGGGGTGAGTGGAAGAGGAGTGGGGGTTATGGTATGGGAGTGCTGGAGGGTTCTAAAAGGTGTTGAGGGAATGAGAGGAGTGGGGAGTACGATAAGAGTGGGGTGTAAATGCATACATCATATCCCTTTTCTCTAAATGAACCTCTCATAACTTACCGTCTGGCCCCGGATATAAGCGCATATGCGCTTATAATAAGTAATGATTTTTTAGGGGTGGCGCTTGTAATTGAGGAACGGCCATAAGCGCCGGCGCTTATAAAATGTCAAATTCCAATTTTGTTTTTCAAAGTATTAAAGTGAAGCCCACAATAAGGCGAACACAACTGTGTACGTTGCGCATGGGATCGTGCATGAAATTTCGGCGAAAACTGCCGCGACTCGATTTCCCACCGCACAGAACCTGTCCTGGAGCAACGCACCTGCCAGCGATGACGTGCATCCTGGCGTGCGGCCCAATAGGAACGTCATGCGCTGCCAGGGTGCAACATTACACCCGAACCATCTAGAAGGGGGTGGAATCTCCTTGCCAGCGCAGCAGATTCGTGCCGCGATACCCTCCTCTCCGGGTTCAGGCAGGGGGGCACCCGTCTATCCCCGATGAGGACCCCAAGCCGCAACTCAGAAGGGGTCCCCGCTAATCTTTCATTTCAGCACTCGATTCATTCAGTTTTGGCAGTTTGATTCTTGTTTTCGCCCGCCTGGCTGCGACAGCCATGGCGGAATTCTCAGGCACACACTTTTTGTTCAAGAAGAAGCCCGCGCGTAGGCCCGCCTTTGTAGTCGATGCCGACGGATGGTACTCCCGTGTCCCAGCTGAACCACCAGAGCCACCACAGCCTCCAGCGCCTCCTGCGCCGCCTGCTCCTCCTGCTCCTCCTTTGCCGCCTGCGCCTCCTGCTCCTCCTGTTCCTCCGTCTCCTCCGATTCTGGGATCTCCTCAGCACACAGGGGATCCGCCCGTGCTCACGCTCCTGCATCCGACTGCGTTCGACGAGTGGCTGGAGGAACCGGAAAGCAACAAGGCCGCAGATGTTGAGGTACCCGGCGCACCTTACCCTGGACCACGTTGGGGCCGGCCCGATGATTGCACCACGTGGGACGAATCTGCACTCGGAGCTGACGACGACGTGGCTGAGGACGAGGAAGCGAGCCGTGCTGACGGCGACGAGGCTGAGGAAGGTCGCGCGCGCGGCATCGAGACCTGCTGGATCAGACGGGCGTACGGTTGGTGCCCATCCGGAGTGCAGGTTACCAGAAGGAGCGTGTGACCGTGATGCTGGCGTGCACGGCGGACGGGGCGAAGCTCAAGCCGTGGGTATTTTTCAAGCGGAAGACGCTGCCGAAGGGCGACTTTCCTCCTGGTAATAAGTAGCAACTGCCGCTGTCTTACCGTATCTTATTCTTTCTCATGCCGCGCTAACAGTTTAAGTGCCATTTGTGTGTGCAGATGTGGTCGTGGCTTGCCACGAGAACGGGTGAATGAACGCAGAAGGCGTCATCCGCTGGCTTGAGGAGTGTGTCAAGCCCTTCTTGAAGCCCCGATTTGGCAGGTGTGCGAAGAGCTCCATGCTCGTGCTGGATTCCTACCGCGGCCACCTTACCGAGGGGGTGAAGGAGAAGCTCCGCGAGATCAACTGCGTGCCTGCTGTCATCCCGTCGGGCTGTACGGGTGAGGTTCAGCCGCTCGACGTCTCCATCAACAAGAGCTTCAAAGCATCTGTTCGTCAGCAGTACCAGAAGTGGTTTGAGGAGGAGGGCCAAGAGCAACTGACAGCTGCAGGTACGTTGTTTCCGTTAAACACGCATGTTTATCCCCCTTTCACCCTTGGATGCTGACACGGCTTTCCCGGGTGTCTCTGTTGCGGTGCAGGGAATCTGAAGAAGGCCCCCCCAGAAGTGGTCCTTCGATGGATTTCACAAGCCTGGAAAGCAGTACCCTCCGACCTCGTCAAGCGCGCCTTCCTCACCTGCGGCATTAGCAACGCGCTTGACGGCAGTGAGGACCACCTCGCCATGGCGCACAGGCGGAGCCAGCTGACGGCGGAAGTGGATGTAGACGTCGGCATCATCGCCGACGGATTCTTTGGCAACAACTGCCAGGAGCCCGAGTCTGACGAGGAGTAGTTCCGGTACTAGCACCTAGGTAGAATAGCAGATTAAGTCTAAAATTGTGTACCAACTTGTAGTATTCGTTGAAGCGAACGATGTTATAGTTGTTGTTTGCTTTTGTTGTGGTGGTAAAAAAAGTGTTAATATTGAGGGTGGCGCTTATAAAAAGGAAGGGTACAAAAGGGGTGGCGCTTATGATCGAGGAACGGCCATAAGCACCATGCTCCAGATAGAAGCGCCGGCGCCTGTAATAGGCCGTCGCCTATATCCGGGGCCATACGGTATTTAAATATATGTTTCATATCTCAGCTTGCATCTCTCACAACGTATGCATATCCCACTGCTGTAACGGTCTTCTCTCATCATGGGAACTTACTAGTAGCGTGTAGCACACTCATTGTAGCCATGACATGCTTCAGGATTACCCTTGAGTGTGTGTGCATGGTTCTAATTGTTTCAACTAGAATGGGTTTTTTATGCACTTAACATACACAAAAGATGCAAACAAGAGGAAAAACAAGCAGCAAATAGTGGTGCAAGGCAAGAAACCAGACAACGCACTCCTAGTCAACAAAAATACCAGTCCAATCATCTACCGTAAGGCATCCCCCCTAACACCAGCGCCACCGGCATGGGATTGGACGGGCTTCCAAAACGCCCTTCCAATCCCGAACCAGCCAGCACAGAGACACTGCAAGCAGGATACGAACACATTACAACTGCGAATCAATTACGGTATACCGTAAACCTGGGAATCTCTCAATAGTAACACCTTTCAGGATTCAGCAAGCACGTTCAACTGGAAAGCAACTACTCTAGGGAAATCCCCGGCTGATGGCAACCAGTGGAGTCAAGCACTATTCAGCTAGACCAGTGGAGTCAGGACTTAACTGCAAAAAAATTGGAGGGAGGGCGGGGATGGAGGTATCACGGAGTATAAGCTGGTGCAGCTGGGTGAGAAACTCCGGGAGGTGCTGCAAGGCGGTGCAGCGAATCAACTCCAGCTTGCGCAGCCGAGACAAGCAGCTCATGCCTTGAGGTAGCGCCACCAGCTGAGATGCTTCAACGGTGAGGGACGTCAGCGAGTGCAGTGCCAGTATGCTTCCTGGCAGCTCCTCCGGTGACCAGGAAAGCAGCTCCAGCTGTTGTAGCTGCGGCAATGCTGCCGCCATGTTTTCTGGGAGGCTGCAGATTCCCGGCGCCTGTATGAGCAAGCAGCGCAGGCGAGGGAGGCAAATGAGAGTCAGGGGAAGTGGGAGCTCCCGGCTGTCATCCCCCAACCGCATCTCCAGCTGCTCCAGCTGCTGCAGACACGACAACCCGCTGCTCCCTGCAGGCCCGTATGTCACCACTGCAACGCAGTTGAGCTTCAGCACCCTCAGCTGCGACAGTCCAGAGATGTCGACACAATGAGAAGCAGCCCTCCTGAAGGGCCCCAAGCAGAGGGTCTCAAGCGAGGGGGGCAGACCAGCAGGGGGCTCCCGCAGCCGCTCACAATCCGTCAGCTCCAGCCTCATAAGCCCCGCGAGCGGATCCAGCCTTGAGGGTACTTGGTAAAGCATCAGTGCCGGCAATTTCAGCCTCTGACCTCCAAGCTCTCAAGTCTCGTAAGCCGTGTCAGCGAGGTAGGAAGGTGGGAGATTGGAAGATTGACAATCTTCAGCTGCCGTAGCCTGCTCAGCTCTCCCAAGCCTTCCGGCAGATCGATGTCACCGCATGTATTCAGCTCAAGGCTCGTCAAGGAAGACAGCTCAGTGAAGGAATCCGGAAGAAAATAGTCTTGGCATGCATGCCACCTGAGAACCCTCAGATTCTCAAGGGCCCCAACGTCCCATGGCAAGAAAAGATCACACGATTTCGAGATAACAAGTGTCTTAATAGTGGTGAGGCGGCAGAAATCTGCTGGCAGGTGCTCAAGGGAGTAGCAGCGAGAGAGAAAAAGGGCCTCCAGAGACGTGAGACGACAGAAGGAAGGAGGGAGTTCGGTGAAACGCAAACCCTCCAGCACCAGCAGCTTGAGGGCAGTCAAGTGACCAAAGTCGCTGGGCAAGGTGAATCTGCTGCTAGGGCTAAACACGATCACGGCTTCCAAACGGCTCAGAGAAGCAACGCTTTCAGGCAGGTGAGTGAAATCACGACACTCGTGAATGGTGAGCTTGCGAAGGCACGGCAGCAAGTCGCCAATGCCACGAGGAAGGCTCTCCAACTCCCTGCAGTTGCTGATCAGCAGCTCCTCTAGACCAGTGAATGTGGATGCTGAGGGGAACATGGTGGCAAAATCAGGACAAAACCTGAAAAGGCTGAGCGATTTCAGGCAAGACGGCAGTGTCACGCTTGCAGCACCCGTCGGCACAAGGGTTTGGGAAGCCAAGATGGAGAGATGGGCGAGTCGTGGGAGGGGAAGGAGGCTGTTCAGGAGGCTGTCCGGGTGGCTGGCCATGTACATGGTGGAGGTGATACAGAGGGTGGTAAGGGCAGTGAGGTTGGTAAACCCGGGTTTCTCTACGGCTGAAGCATCAGTGAGAAGAAGGGTGTGCAGACGCCTCAACTGAAACAGGTGTGATGCTCCTCCTTCCTACAATAATGCGTAGCCGGTCTGTCAAGGTCGATGGGCGATTGTCGTGCAAACCTCCTTCCTACGTGGAAAGTCGTCAGTTTCGGGCATGACGATGCGAGGTGAGCAAGAAATGCGTCGTTGAGCGACTCGACGCTGTTGTCGCTGAGATGCAGATGGGTGAGGTTGGGGAAGCACGCGACGGCAGCTGAGAGATCTTGGCAGGACACCAGGAGGTCTTGTTTAACGGAAAGCGCGGTCACGTGCTGCTTCACCACACGACGCCAACGACGGCAGACGGACGCGATGAGGAGATTCCCAGCCACGATTGCGACCGGAGAACAAGGGGCTGGTACCACGTGTGGGATGAGATCTATGCCTTGCGGCGTGACTGTATGAAGGATAATTATTGGCCAGCTTGGCCAACCGTCAGTGATTCTTGGCCAGTTCGGCCAACCGTCCGTGTCCAAGTTGTCCAAGTGAGATTCGCCGCGTGAAGCTGGCGGTTGCTCCAAGGAGTGAATAAGGATCTTAAAGAGAAGATCGTCAGGTAGACTAAGGATCGTCCGGGACTCCATGTCGGGATCTTGAGATATTAGGGACGCCGGAAATATGTGCTGTCAGAATGTTATGCTCTAGCCTGTAGTGGGGTGCTCTATAGCGAGTACAACCCTTCTAGGGTTTGCTATTTGTATCCTCATTCCTGCTAGTGAACCCCCTCTTTGCCTAAACTGTTTCTTGCCTAGCTAGGGCTTTCCTAGCTATGGCGCCTTCTTCTACTGCTTATATTCACATGGTATCAGAGCTAGAGTTCACAATAGGTAAGTAAGGCTAGAGCTAATCACAGAGGGCAAGTGAGGAGGAGGAGAGACTGTGGGGGAGAGAAGATGGGAGGCGACTGCTGACGCTGCAGACACACAGACGAGCTTCTGGCTCAGTGGCTACCGAAGCAAAGGCCCGGACTACAGGAGTAACTGGCTCCGCGGCTAAAAGTAGCGGCAGACGAGCAACTGACCCACAGGCGACTGGCGACTACCGGAGATTGTAGCCTCCGGACTGCTGGTGCTGCTGACGACAAGACTGCTGCCTCCACTTAACCTCCCCCAGCTGCCCAACGCCCCTCTCACACACCCCCTGCTCAAACCCTAGCCCTACACCCACAGCACCCCCTTAAACCCTAAACCCCAGACTCCCACACAACCACTCCCCTCAGCGATAGCTGCAGCAGTGGGAGACGAAGGAGGAGGAGGAGGAGGGGACGGCACGCACAACCGACACCCCCACAACCATCACCCCCACACCCACCCCCCCACGGCTGCACCGGGTCCAAGAGCGGCTGCTGCAGGGGCCAGGGGCGGCTGCTGCTGGGGCGGCTGCTCCAGGGGCTGCTGCTGCTGGGGCGGCTGCTCCAGGGGCTGCTGCTGCTGGGGCGGCTCCTGCTGGGGCGGCTGCTGCTGGGGCGGCTGCTCCAGGGGCTGCTGCTGCTGGGGCGGCTGCTCCAGGGGCTGCTGCTGTTGGGGCGGCTGCTCCAGGGGCTGCTGCTGCTGGGGCGGCTGCTCCAGGGGCTGCTGCTGCTGGGGCGGCTGCTCCAGGGGCTGCTGCTGCTGGGGCGGCTGCTCCAGGGGCTGCTGCTGCTGGGGCGGCTGCTCCAGGGGCTGCTGCTGCTGGGGCGGCTGCTCCAGGGGCTGCAGCTGCTGGGGCGGCTGCTCCAGGGGCTGCTGCTGCTGGGGCGGCTGCTCCAGGGGCTGCTGCTGCTGGGGCGGCTGCTCCAGGGGCTGCTGCTGCTGGGGCGGCTGCTCCAGGGGCTGCTGCTGCTGGGGCAGCTGCTCCAGGGGCTGCTGGGAGGAGGCGGCGGGGCCGCTGAGGGGAGGCGGCGGGGCCGCAAAGGTAGGTGGCGGGGCCGCAGGTAGGTGGCGGGGCCGCTAGTAGGTGGCGGGGCCGCAGGTAGGTGGCGGGGCCGCAGGTAGGTGGCGGGGCCGCAGGTAGGCGCCGGGGCCGCACAGGTAGGTGGCGGGGCCGCGGGTAGGTGGCGGGGCCGTAGGTAGGTGGCGGGGCCGCTGGTAGGTGGCGGGGCCGCAGGTAGGTGGCGGGGCCAGCAGGAAGGTGGCGGGGCCGCACAGGTAGGTGGCGGGGCCGCAGGTAGGTGGCGGGGCCGCTGGTAGGTGGCGGGGCCGCAGGTAGGTGGCGGGGCCGCACAGGTAGGTGGCGGGGCCGCGGGTAGGTGGCGGGGCCAGCAGGTAGGCGCCGGGGCCGCACAGGTAAGCGTCGGGGCCGCAGGTAGGCGCCGGGGCCGGAAAGGGCGGCGTCAGGGCCGCAGGGCGGCGCGAGGGCCGCTGGGTAGGCGACGAGGCCGCAGGGCGGCGGATCGGGGCCGGGTAAGGGCGGCGCGATGGCCGCGGGGTAGGCGACGAGGCCGCCAGGCGGCGGGTCGGGGCCAGGAAGGACGGCGCGAGGGCCGCAAGGCAGGCGACAGGGCCGCTAGGGCGGCGCGACGGGGCGAGAAAAAAGGGGGGAGCGCGACTCGGGCTAGGACTGAGCGCGCTCCGGGCAGAAAAAAAAATGTCGAATTGGTGGGCCCTAGGAACAGTTCCCACGAGGGAACCTGCTCGATACTAGGTTCAGTATGCACTAGAGAACCCGGTCTTACAAAGGCGCCACGAGGAAAAACAGTGATGGCAAAGAAAATAGTAGCATCAAGCGGTGCTTACCATGCTCGGCGGCATACCTAGAGACCATCAGGCGGACGTGAGTGGGGTGCTGAAAACAAGACTACCGGCTGCGCGTCGCGTGGAAGGACTCCAGCGAGTGAGTGTCTAGTGACAGTTCTGCTGTGAAGTAGTGCACTGTGGATTGCCAGTGCTGCCTCCATCGAAGTTATGTTTAGGTTGGTCATGTTGTTGGGAACTGGCATGGAAGGACACGGAGGTGCTGGGGATTGGGGTGTATGGAAGGAGGGCGTGTTCGATATGCAACGGAAGGCAACCGAAATGTGACCGAAGGAACACTTTGGAGACTTTGCATGCCCCGCCGCAAGGCTTCGCTGGTATTTGTTACGAGTGCAATTGAGTGAACGAACGAGAATTGCACTATCGAAGCAAGAGTACAATGAGCGAAGGCATGAGCGAAGAATATATAGCGAAACTACAGTGGTAACGGTAATGGACTGTGGTTGTCGCGCGACGGGCCTGGGACTGAGGTTGGGAAAAAGTGTCGAAGCGGAGGCCCGGAGCGCGGGTTACCCGCCGAGCCGTGAGGTCGGGGTGCGATGTGCGAAGGTGGCGGGCGGATTGTCGATGCGAGGGTGGCGAGTGGTAACGGTGCTGACTGTGGTGCTACAGTGATGTACGCGTTGAGGAGTAAGGAAAAGGAATTTTCCTTACACTACCCCCCCTCCTAAGGAGGTCCTCCTTATGAAAGTGCGTGTACATCCCTGAAATTTCGGCTGCGCAGATACTCAGTGAGGACGGGGTGGTTTTCGATTCTGTCCAGGGGAACCCAATTGTCTTCGGTGGGTGTACGGTCCTTCCAGCGGAGTAAGAACTCGATCCTTTGGGCTCCTCGAGGGTCGCGAACTCTGTGACTCAGGATTTTTTCGGGGGTGATGATTGGTTCAGTTGGTGGTCTTGTCATGCTGGCTGGGCGATTGCGTGGTAGTTGGCTCGTGGACGGGACGTAAGGGCAAAGTAGGCTGACGTGGAATGAGGGGCTGACGTACCAGTCAGCAGGGAGGAGGAGGTGGGCGGTGACGGGTGTAAGCATGTGGCTTATGCGAAATGGCCCGCAGTATCGGGGGCGGAGTTTCGGGGTGATGGGCAGTCGGAGGTTCTGAGTGTCAAGTAAAACTAAGTCGTCGGACTGGTAAGTGACAGGTCTGCGGTGGCGGTCGGCGTTGCGTTTAGCGATGATGTTTGATTTTTTTATCGCGTCTGCTGCCCGGGTCCGTGCTGCTTGTAATATTTCGGCGAACTGTTGTGCTCGTGGTACTGGGTTGTCGGGATTCGGGGTCATGGGTACTGTCGGGTCTTGTCCGTAGTTTAGGTAAAATGGTGACTGTTGGGTCGTGGCGGATGGCGAGTTGTTGTACGCGAATTCGATTAGTGGCAGTTGCTGTTCCCACGTGGTCGGGTCGTCACACGTGGCCCTGATGAGCTGTTCCATGGTCTGATTTGTCCGTTCTGTCTGTCCGTCGGTTTCGGGGTGGTATGATGAACTGAACTGCAGTCGCGTGCCGAACTGCTGCCACAGGTTCCGCCAGAAGTTGCTGGTGAATTTCGTATCGCGGTCGCTGATGATCGCGGCTGGTATCCCGTGCAGTCGAACGACGGTGGAGATGAAGAGGCGTGCTGTTTCTTCGGCTGTGATTGATTTTTCGTCAGTCGATCGACGACGACCAGGATCGCGTCGTTCCCACTCGCCCCAGCTGGTAACCCCGTGACGAAGTCCATCGTCACCTGCTGCCAAGCACGCTCTGGGGGTGGTATCGGCTGTAACTGTCCCGCCGGCCGCTGTCGTGATGATTTCATGAGTTGACAAGTGGGACACGATGCCACGTGTTGTTGTACGTCAGTCAACATTTCGGGCCAGTAATAATACCGCTGCAGCTGCTGCCGTGTTTTTTCTACTCCGAAGTGCCCCGAGGTAACTCCGTCGTGTGCCTCCTGTAACAGTAATTCCCGTAGCAGTGTATACCCAGGCACCCAAATGCGGTCAGTCCCGGTTTTTACGTAATAGACTCCCTTTGCTGCTGCGAACTGCTGCGAATTTCCTCCTGTGAAGAATGGATCCGTTTGGTACCCGTGGGTGAATAGGCCTGTCAGTAGCGGGCTTGTCTGGGCGAGTAGTATTGCGTGGATCTGGGCAGTGGGGCGGGTCAGCGCGTCGGCGAT